GGCGGCGGCGGCGGCTGCGGCTGCCCAACGCCAAAACTCTGCGGCGGGGCCGGAGCGGGCTGGCTCATCTTCTCCGACGGGGGCAGCTGTGACACAGCAGTCAAGGAACTGTCAGTTCCCGAGTCGGGACCGTGCGCCCCCGGCATGGAGGCCACCACCACCACCACCGACCCTCCGGTGGCGCCCAGACCACTGTCCCGATCCGCAGTCTGGTCAAAAGTATTGCTGTGCCTAATGCAATCCCCGGACCGAGTTAGGACGCTGCTGTCGGAATCCCGCTCATAGTATTCCATACACGTCCATCGGCCGCGTCTATAGGGCTCCCCGCTCCCGTGGTCCAGCTTGATCACACGAAAACGGGAACTACAAGTGGTGGGGGGCTGCGATGGGGCGGCAGTCCCTGGCCCGGAGGAGGGGCCTGCGACCGGGGGGGCGCCAGGAGCCCCCGAAGAGGGGGCCGAGGTGGCGGCCGCCGCCAGGGTACTGGCCAGGGCCCCAGCCACGCTCCGAGCCGAAACGGCTCCTCCTCCATTGGCGGGAGCGGCCGCCGCGGCCGCCAGCTGCCCGTCTAGGAGGAGGTTTGGGGAGACGGTCCCGGGAGTCTCCGCATCCCCAACATTGTTGAGCGTCTCTTCAGAGGAGCTGCGCTCGCAGACCTCCTCGGGGCCGTAATCCGTGGCCCGAGATACGTCGAATATCTCGGAGGAGACGTCCTCCGTGCGTGACTCGTCCGGGTCGTCCAGGCTCTCGGTGTCCTCGGTGATGCTAGTGGCCACCTGGGCCGTGGTGACACTGGTGATCTGGAAGCAGCTCTTCTTCTTGGCCGGCATCTTGGACATGGTGAGGAAGGCTGGAGGGCAGAGAGGCACGCCGGCTCCTCTGCGATCTTGCCGGAAACCAGGAAGGGCAGGGCACGGTCCCCCAAAGACAAAGTCCGAGTCCGCACTGGGCTCTGAGGCCCGCCGCTGGAAGAGTCACGGGCTAATCTGGGTGCCGGTCCCTCGGTGAGACATCCTCCTCCTGTTTCCTTCTCGGTGTTGGTCTCTTCGGCTCAGCCCCCGTCTCACTCACGCGGCGGCTCCGCCTTCCTTCTCGCTTCCCGCAGCCGCGGCGCCTCAATTCAATCCCCTCAGTGGCGGCGAGGGCGCGATCTCAGGGGCGGGTCGGCTGCTGCTTCCTCCCGTCTCTGGGCCGCCGTGGTCAGTCCAGCTCGGCGCTCGGCGCGGTCAGCAGGCCTTGACTGGGGGTGGGAGTGGGAGGGCGAAGGGGAGGAGGAGGCGGCGGCGGCGGCGTGAGGGGCGGTGCTGCCCCGCTCCGGCTCCTTGAGCCAGCGCCGGCGTCAGCTCCGGGCTTTCGGACGCCGAGGGAAGAAGGAGTGGCGAGTCCGGAGCCGGGGATTCCTGATTCAGCCAAGAGCTGGCGGAGCTTTGGCGCGGGCGGGCGGCCCTCCCTCCCCGGCTCTAGCCGGAGCTCAGCCCCAGGGACATGTCGACTGTCTCTGGCGGAAACCCGCTCCGGGGGAGGGGAAAGCCGGCTCGGTCC